CTATCGCCGTCAGTACTTCTGTACCAGATCATTAGAACTCATCGATCCTCCTATATTTTTCACACCTTACAATTTAAATACTCCATCCAGTCCCGTCCTCCAAGATCTCGCACTTCATACCTCTATCCCTCTCCTCGCTGAACTGCAGCGTTTGACAAATCATTTGCAATTCAAGCCGCTTCCTTCTGGAATTTCATCCCTGTTGATATTCGACACGCACAATCAGTTCTCTCTTTCAAACCTCTCCTCTTTAAACACCTACTCCTTTCTCAATCCGCCTGATTACGAAAAATACCTAAGAGAGCTATCTAAGTATCCTCAAAAAACACTTTTATTTTAGTTTGCTCTGTTTGTATTATGTACGCTTAATATGTTTGTATATCTACGCGTTTCATGTCTTTCTCTCTCTCTCCATCTGTATTTTTACTTTTAAATAACCAATATTTTAAATATTTACTCTATTTATGACCACTTATGCATGTATTCAGCACTTATAATTTGTTCTAAAGGGACAACAGTTCCAGAATAAAAAAAAATATTTCCATTTCATTTCATATGCAGCGTTTTTAAGATTACTAAGTGATAAATCTGAACATAGCTGTAAGATCCTTCGGAAAGTCATTGTACTGCTTCAGTATTATTAGAATGATTTACAGAGTTACATAGGAATACCTCAGTCATATAAGCCATTATTTTGTTTTAAAGAACGGCGTTTCAACAAAAAACAGCCAATGTGAGGATCGTTTTTCTTAAGATTATTCAACAGTGCTTTGTCAATGCTTCTCTCTATTCATTCATTTCCTTAACAATCATAGACATTTTTTTCATGGAAACGGCATAAAAAAAAAGTTTAAGATTGTTAAGGAAATGAATGAATAGAGAGAAGCATTGACAAAACACTGTTGAATAATCTTAAGAAAAACGATCCTTACATCATAAATTGAAGGATGCTTCCTCAAGATCAAATTTCATTACCGACTTTTTTTATTTATTGAATAATATAACATTCTGTCACTTGAACATTGGTTATGGTGAGGTAAGATCACATTCACAATATATGCACACAAAAAAATTATTAAAATAAACAGAAACAAAATAACAACTACTAATAAAAGATTATATACAATCAATAAAATAAATTTAAAAAACAAACAAAAGACACATAAATACTTAAATACAATCAGGCGAGAGAACTCCATGGAAGGGTTGTCCCTCCAGCTATGGAGGGGAAAGAAGGACTCCAGAAGATACCAGACCACGCTAGTAGTATTCTCAACCACGTCACTGTTACTAAAACCAATCCTTAATCTAGAGATTGATTGAGAGCGCTTTAGCCTCATACACTGTCTTGAATGAAGAATCTGACCATTGCCAGAAGTCCATTATTTGCAAACTACAAAAGGTCGTGGAGCCACTGCCGTTTTAACCTTCATGGAGGATTATAGGGATGGGTGGTGCTTTATATAGATTGTGCAAGAGGATTTGGAAGATATGCAAGGTTCTGGTGAAATTTGGAGAATTTATCTAGGATAAATGGGATGTCGAGGCCATGGTGTAGGATTTTATTCGTTACATAGGGCATCGACTATTGTTGGAAGGACTATGGACTGGAAGTGTTTGATATTAGAAAATTTTGCTGTTTCCCACAGTTCTAGTCCATAAGTCCAAATAGGTTTCAGTGTCGTCTTGCAGGTCAGTAATTTGTTTTCAATAGAAAGTTTAGATTTTTACTTTCACTTACCTATATATCAAATATATAGTAAAGAAAGTATTGCAATCGTAAAAATTTTCGAATCTCAGTTTTCAACGGAAAGACGCGTTTTGAGGTCTCCTGAGTCAAAATAACTAAGTCCCGCGAAATGGTCTGTGTATGTGAACAGTCTAGGTAAAAAAAAAGTCGTACAAAAGTGAAATTGCATATTTAAGGTTATGTGCCTGGAATATTACAGCAACTTTTTCATCAAAATCGGCTAACCAGAAGTGGCACTTTATTTCATTGATTTAATACATTTTTACGATTTACTCGAAAACGGATCTAACGATTATGAATTAATTCATTATATCAGTGTAAAATTAAGCAGTTTTTATTTTCATTGATGTTCTATAACAGAAATTAAATGGCTAATTTTCAATATTGGCTTTTCTTAAAGTACACTTAATTTTTACTTTCACTTACCTACACATGTAATTTATAGTAAGAGAAAGTATTGCGATCTTAAAAATTTTCGAATCTGATTTTTCAACGGAAATACAGGTTTTGAGGTCTCTTGAGTCCAAATAACCAAGTCCAGCCAAAATGGACTGTGTGTATGTGAACAGCATAGCTCAAAAACGAAAAGTCCTACGAAACTTAAATTGCGTATTTAAGGTGTTTATATAGTTCTGAGATGGTAGCAACTTTTTCGTGAAAATCGGCTGACCAGAAGTACCACTTTATATCAAAGGTGAAACACATTTTGACAATTTTCTCAAAAACGGCTCTAACAACGATTTGCATTAAACTCGGTGTATCATTGTATAATTAAATGGTATTTAATGCCATTTAGGTCTTATCCCCATTAATGTCACTTTACAGAGCTTAAATTCCCAATGTTCATATAGCCTTCTTCTAAAGTGTATTTGATCTCAGAAGGATTAACTGCTTTTGGTGGTAAGGAGAGTGAAATTGGCTAAGAAAGGAATTCTCCTACTTTTGGAGTGAGGGTTGGATAGGATACTGGATGAGGATTGAATGTACTGGAGAAGTGTCTGTTAAATTCCCCAGTTTTGTCTTCATTAAGCGCTGCCCAGGAGCCATTGCATCGACGGCGTGTGTGGGAAATAAGATGGGATTTTAGAATTTTTTTGGTGATTTCAGAGGGAATTTTCATAAACAGGGAGGGAGGCACGGTAGGAATTAAAGGATTGGGACATGAAGGATGATAATTCTTGCTTTAATAGTTTACAGTAATAATTGTAGGAGCGGCGAACCATGGGATGTTTGGTGTGGATTAGGTCAATGAGGTGTTGGGGTAAATCATTTTCTTAGGAATGATTTGGAGAGGAAACAGTCCATATGGCTTGTTGAATGGTGGTGGTAAAGGCATGTACAGCATAGTCAAGGTTATTGTGATGTCAATTTTATTGGAAAAGGATTTGATGAAAGTTTCCAGTTATCTGGGCTTCTGATGAAGGATGGTAGGAATAGGAACTAGAAATAATTGGATAATTAATGGACTATTATCTGAGGAAAATTCATCAAGGCGGATAAGGGAACCTTAACCACTGTGGATAAATCAAGAATATCAGGATTGCGGTTAGCATCAGCAAGTCGATGAGTAGGGAGGAAGGAGGCTGAAATGATTAGTTTCCATTGAGTGCAGACAGCAATGTTTTACTATGAGAATTAATGGTTCTTGATGCTTGGCAATTATGACGTTAGGTCTACATTTCCACTGGATTATGAAGCGAAGAGTTGAATCCTCATAACTACAAATGAATCTATCCTTCAGGTGGTAGAACAGATACTTCACGATTTAAAAATATCTCAGCTGTCAGTCTGTGCTTTTTTTCCTGGCAATGAATCTTGAGTCATTAATACACTTGCTGTCGTTGAGAGTAGCATATTTTACTCGTAACAAATCTTAATTTTTATTTTCCATAAAAAAAAAAAAAATAGATGATTGCAGTTGTCAACATTTGCTACATTATTTATTTTAAATATAAGAGCTGATATATTTTCTTGCATTTGGAAGTGTTGTAAACTTGTTCAGTAGTTATGGTTGTTTTAACTCATACATGCCATTGAATCAAACAGATAAACTTACCTTATTCCCTTGAGAATGTCAGAAAAATGATTATCAAGTGTCTTGATTTCTGAAAAGCATTGGACCCCTCCTTAGACCAAACTCACTTTTCACCAAGAAAATTTGAATTTAATTTAAGAGACACTCAAAAATTTAAAACAAAGAACTTCTACCTCCTGATTTATTTTGTGCTTCCTTACAGCATATCCAAGCCATGATGAATCTTTCTAATGGTCAATTTTGTTTAGAACTTTTTATTCTCCTGGGTTGCCAGTCTAAATAGTTCATACCTAGATATAGCTATATTTCATCAATACCTATTTTCAGTCATATCATTTAAAACTTTCAGTTTTTCTTTTTTCTAAAACAGGGGGAGGTGAAAATGTGGTTATAAAGTACTATTTTTCACATGGGGAGATTTCCCTCTCCATTAAATTTGCTACAAGTCTGATAATATATTATTTTTATTGGACCAAAAAATTGGGTTTTCAGGATGATCTCTAGACTCTGGACATAATGTGTTTTTGTTAACTTCCAGGACATCCCACTAGGGTCAGATTATTATGGCATATTACTTTATTGATGAAGATCTTGAAAGAGACCATATTCAAAAAAGTGATATAAAAGCTTTTGATTGAAAGAAACAATGGATAAATAATGCTGATTGATGTATTATAAACTCATCATTTATTACTATTAAAATGTTTCTTAATGAGTCATTAAATAAAAAACATTGAATTATTATATCAACTTATTTTATAATACAATGTGATCAAAATGTACTGTGGACATACAGATTGTTGAACTGTTCTTGGCATTTAAACTATAGTTTGCATAATTTTGTCTCAAAGGAATAAAAAAAAGAAAAAGATATAAAAGCAAAACAATAGGTTAGTCAGCAATTTCCACTTGCTTTAAAATGCTTTTTTTTTCTTCTTTTATTAATGTAACATTTCAGAAAATACTTTCCCCATCGTTAGAGCTTCTACATGTAAAACCCTATAATTTTGGGGGAAGGAGTTCAGGTATTTTTTTTTTTTGTTGATTAGAAATGTTCACTTCTAACTCATCTATTTATATTTTAATTTATAAAAGATCAATCATTTTTTGTCCAGCTAGTATGATTTTTATTGTTTGATTTGGAAAAATTAAGGCATCAAAAGAAATTAACAATAAAACATTATTTTATCATTAATATAATACAAATGGTAATACAAAACATAAAATTAAATAAGTTTAAACATCTATAAGTTAGTCAATTATAAAAATCACATGTTTTGGAATTTCAGATTGTTAGAGAATTACGAATCATATACAAAAAATATGTAACTATACAAAAGTGATGGTAGTTCTTGCTTGATTAACTTGCCAGACATTAAGCTGTTCATATTCATCAAGGCAGTCATCGACCTGGCCGACTTGAAATCCCTTGGTAGCACATGCTTCTCTAACTTCTGACAATTTTACTGTCTTATTACCTCCCGCTAATTCACGAATGATATTGAAAATTCTATCTACAGCAGACTGAGGCCTAAAAAACAATCAAACCATGTAAATCTTTCTATAAGTTAAAAAAAAGAAGGGAAAAAAAAAGGAATAATAAAAGCGAGTTTCAATATCTATTAAGGTCATGAGACATTTTCTTATAAAACACATTTAGGCCTAAAACAGGGCTGGAAATGTACAAGTTTTCTGGTGTTGTTTAATAAAAAATAATTATCTTATGACAAGAATGACACTATTTATAAAATACAGAAACTGAATAAAAAACAAAATGATTAAGAAAATGAACCACGCAAGGATGGGCCTACTTCAACAAAATATATACAAAAATAGACAGATGATAAACTCTTAACGCATACCTAAGGATCTAAAGGAACCATAGTCATTATTCAAATTTACTTGTCCAAGACCAAGAATTTTAACATTTCTCTTTATAAAAGGCTTATAATATTTTACCTAAGGATGATTTATAATACTCTGTGTTATAACAACACAATATAGTTAAATAACATATCTTTTATAATAAACTGTTTCTCTCTTTAATAAAAATAATAAATATTTCTAACCTGGTTGATCTTTCATCAGTTGTTGCAAGTGATGATTTACTCATTTCAAGTAATCTCATTGCTTCAGAAACATCTTCTGCTTCGACTGTATCAGCTAATCGTAGTCTTGCAAGAGCAGTGCAAAGCCTTAAAATAGCTAGAAGATTTCTTGCAGAGGTAAAAGTCATATCACGACTATTTCGAGCTTCCTATTAAAAAATATATATGATACTGGAACATAAATTTAATACAGTTATTGCATTATTATATTGAGTTTGGAAAAGTAACCTTTCTCATGTTGACATATGCCTCAACAATTGTATCAGTTAATGAAACTGGAATGACTGGATTTTTTCTTTTGCAAAGGTCAATATATCTCCTCATAAGTGACATATCTAATGGCTGAGTATCAGTAGGTGGTTGACAACTGTGTCGATGAACATAAGTAATATGTTGTGCAAGCCTGAAAAATAAAAATCAGAAAATTGAAAATATTTAACACATTAAATGATCTCTTAGCCTCTTCTTTGCAAAAATTAAAACATTTCAATATATAATAGTATAGAAAGATAAATAAAAATGATCTCCACACTTCTTATCGTATGATTTTTAATGCTTAATGTTTCAGGTTAAACTATCTATTTTCAAAAGCATTTTTGAATTGTATATGTTAATAGTTTACAATGGTTTTGATGATAGGTAGTTTAACCTGAAACATTAAGTAATAAAAAAATAAGAAGTTTAAAGGTTCTCAATTCAGAATATAATAGCTGATCTTCAACAAGATAAAACTTATCATCAAAAGATTTACCAGCAACATTTAAATGGTCAAGCATTTGCACGGTGTAATCAGAGGGCAGTGCTTAGTTTATTGTGAATAAATACCACAGTATACAAATTAATTGTTTAACCCTTTGACTTCAGATGGGATAAATGCCTTCCCGTTAAAAGTTAAGTCACTGGTGCGGAAGGGATATATGCTAGTACGGGAGTTGGGTCACTAGTACGGCTTGGATATATGCCTTCCCACCTAGGTGGTCGCCACTTAAACAGGTAGGAGCAAATCCCGCCTTCACTATTTGAGTTGTGGCTTGGTCAATGCATTCATTAGTCCCCTGTAGCTGACTAAGTGTGGTCGTTCTGGATTCTGACCATTTGCAGATTTATTCTGAACCCAAGGAATGTCCTTTCTGTTATTTGTGTCATATCCATAATCTTATTTATATTCTATTTAAATGTTTTATACATCAAATAAATGTTAATAAGTTAATTTTATTATAATTTATGTTTTCACTGAATGCTGATTTTGGTACGCATGAATCTCTGTCTACTAAACAAATAAATACAAGTTGTCTACATTTTAAATATATATATATATATATATATATAAAATGTAATAAATAAATGTAAAAATATACAGAATTAAAAGATACTTTAGTTGTTTCATCATTTTTCCATCCATCTAAAACTTTACAAAGTCCATATCTCCATATAGCTCCCTGTTCCTCCTAATCGTCCATCCATCTCCATCGCTTACTAGGCCAACTATTCGCCATTAGATTTTTTTTTCAAAAATTAAAAGAGTATTTTCATTATTTCTTGAGAAGGCCGAGGATTGGGAAGCATAGGTAAGAACTGAGCATATAAGAGTCTTGTATATGACCAGTTTAGTGTCCTTGATAATGGATCTGCTGCGGAGAGTTTTCAGCAAGGCAAAATACACCCTATTTGCCGCCACCAGTCTTTTCCTTATTTCAGCAGAGACATCATGATTGGTGTCACTCGGGATTCCAATAACGTAAACTCGTTCACTCTTGGAATGTGTAAGGGCCCACAATCAGTGCCTCATCGCCACCAATCCCTGTGTGCATATATTTTGTTTTATTCTTGTTTATGGCCAACCGCATGGCGGAATCAGCGTCCATGAGTTTCCTAAAGATTTCTACCAATGCCGATCGGGTCCTGGCCACGATATCCAGATCGTCAGTGTATCCCAATATCTGTATAGTACGGGCGAATATCGTGTGGTCTGTCTGGATTTCTAATTGAAGAGGAGACAGGCCAGTCCATCCCCTCTGTCTTAATCCTTTATTGGAGGGAAATGCATCAGAGCAGTCACAATGGCTCCGTACCTGACACCTTATATCTTTCTTCATTGTCGACTTCACGAGACGTATCAGTTGCTTGGGAAGCCCATTTCTCTCAATGCCTCATATAACTTAAGTTGTTTGATACTGTCATATGCGCTCTTAAAGTTGACAAACAGGTGGTTATGTGTAGAGATTTTATATTCATGACCCTGTTCCAAAATTTGAATGGAACTTTTTTATTTAAGAAAAAAATTTGTTAAAAGTATATTAATATATTAAGAGTATATTAATAGTAGCTAGTAGCTGTAGAATATTAATAATATTAAGAGTAGCTTAATATATGTGCTGAGACTATCGGTGTGTCCTTGGCCTCAGGTATCGAAGCTCTGTTTTTATAACTTTGAAGAGAATTCCATTGTTGACTTATAAAAAGAAAAATACCGTGATTGAAACGTCAATAAACACAGGAAATGAACATTTAGTAGTTTATTAAATAATTAATAAGAGACCTTATTCCCAATTAAATGGTTGTTTAAATATATATTTATAAATTTTAACTGAAACTCCTTGCTGAACGCAACCCTCTGAAGAAGACCTACAAAGTCGGATCGAAACGTTGGCTTGAAATAAAATAGTATTCCCACTATTTTAGTCTCTTTATGACCGCCACCCCAGACCATCTCCTTCCTCTAAGATACACAACGGTGAGTTTTAACTGAAACTCCTTGCTGATCGCACCCCCTGAAGAAGACCTGCAAAGTTGGGAAGAAACGTTGGCTTGAAATAGTTTTTTCCACTATTTTAGTCTCTTTATGACCGCGTCTCCAGACCATCTCCTTCATGAATGAGCTCCCACAGTCAAAGGATTAAATTAACATTTTACTTATAAATAAATTAACATCCTAGATGCAAATAGAAAGGGTATGTGGATAAAAATGATAAGTAATATATTTATATGAGAAGGAGTTAGTCGAGGGTGCGGTCCAATAAATAAAAAAATTAAAATATATAAATTATTTTAATTTTGCCGACGTTTCGACCCACTTTGCAGGTCGTCTTCAGGGCGTAGGATGTGGCACTGCGGGAGCCTACTCTCAAATCTATTTTGGATTTGAGAGTAGGCTCCCGCAGTGCCACATCCTACGCCCTGAAGACGACCTGCAAAGTGGATCGAAACGTCGGCAAAATTAAAATAATTTATATATTTTAATTTTTTTATTTATTGGACCGCACCCTCGACTAACTCCTTCTCATATTATATTAACGGTCAACCATCTCTACATTAATATATTTATAGTTCTAAAAAAATTGACTTTAAATAATGACACTGAGACGTTTTTTTTTAAAGAAAGCTGATATCTAAATTCTAAGAGATGTGCAGTTAATGATGGAAAAAGCTTCTAATTTTGATTAAAAAATTTAATATTCTAGGTCTATATTTAACTTATTTTTTTTTAAATACTGAAATATATCTGGTGAATTAAAATGTGTGTGTGTATTATTTTGAGTCCAAAAATATTTATTGGCATATTATTATCTTATATGAAAATTCTGAGCTTGAAAAATAGTTAATGAAATAAAAATTACTTTAAAATTTTTATTTTCAAAAATTAAAAATATATACATTTTTTACTTTTATTTTACACGCCATTTTGTAAATATTGGTTTATTCTTACAGTTGTTCCTTAAGCTCATTACTTTCTCCACCCTCAGGTTGTGAATGCTGTAATTTTAGAATATTTTCTTTTTGTACTAGAAACTCCCAAATTCATCTAAACAAGTTTTGACTATATGTGTTTTTTTTTCCCCCTATTGGTTAAACTTAATTTTTTTTTTTTATGATTCCCAATTTAAAAATCTTGGAAATGGTAATCATGTCCACCAGGAGACATTTTCAACTTGCTGAGTACTATTTCTTGATATATATTAGGCATATATACAGTTTCATATCCTTGATGTTATTTTAAATAAATTTACTTGCCTTTGCATTTACAGAAACAATGCCTATGTTTTTTTTATGCCTAAGAATCTAAATATTGTAGTCTTAGACAGATAGATGACTGACTTCACAGATAAAGATGAAGGAAATATTAAGTAAGTGGACTTGTCACCTTTAACCACTACAAAACAGACATGTACCATCACTTGACATCTTTATCAACTCAGTTGTGAGCCAACTAATGAATTTATGTGACAGGAAGGAGGAAAAATTAAAAATATATCACTCACTTAATAGCTTAAACCATAGTGATAATTAAATTTTTTCCAAAAACACCACTTATCACGTTTACCCACAAGACACTTCAATTGTATAAAGCCATTGTCAATAAAATGCAAACAACTCATTTTTTAGACTCAAAGATAGGACAAACAGTATTTCATAAATCGAAATAAATAATGCAATTTGCAAATTGATTAGGATAAATTTGATTAATATCAAATATTTCAATTGATTAAATCAGGTAAAAAAGCTAAGAAATGTCGTTTGAATTACCTCAAATCATTATCTCTGTCAGCTTTATCTTGAATAAGCCATAAGAGATCAAAACGAGACAATAATGCAGCAGGTAGTTGAATATTTTGTTCCACAGATCTTTTTGCATCATATCGCCCATAGGCAGGATTTGCTGCAGCCAAAATGCTAACTCTAGCATTTAATCTGGTCATAATGCCAGCCTTAAAAAAAATTAAGATATTGTATTATAATTCAATAATACCAACACATATTTTATTGCTTAATATTTTTTATAAGCAGCATATATCTACAATAACTACACTAGACTAAATAGTCTATTTTGTAAGGCATTATTAATTATCAGCAGAAAACAAAATAAAATGAATTTGGCTATACTAAAATCTTGCTCTTTTATTCTGATAAATTTTGCCTGTACAAAAGCCCAAAACTTAATAAAACAAGATTTCTTATATGCGTTTTATTTAATCTAGACCAACTACTTCCACACAATGGGCTGTGCCTACTGCTAGGCACAGTGACTGGAAAAAGAGATAATAATTTATACTGACAGTCAGGCAGCAATAGGTACCCTAAATAATTACTATATATACTCAAAGGTTGTTAAAGAGTGCAGTATAGCACTTAACAATCTGTCTGAGCATAACAGAGTTGCAATTGAGTGGGTGCCTGGTCATTCAGGGCATTCTTGGCAACGAAGAGGCAGACAATCTAGCCAGATTAGACTCAGATACTGTTCCCGTAACTCCTGAATCTGTTTGTGGAATCAGTCTTAGTACTGCTTAAAGAAGGATTAGGGAGTTATATGGTGAAAAATTCAAACAACACTGGACTGAGAAGGAACGACATTCGAAGCTGTTCCTTAATGGTCTATGAGTTAAAGAAGTAAGCTGGTACTGAGTTTGGACAGAGCAGCCATCAAAAAGCTTACAGTGATCTATACTGGCTACTGTAAGTTAAATTATCACATGTTCAATCTCCGAGTGACTTTGAACCTGCTTTGTAGATTCTGTTAGGAGGAGAATGAAACAGCCTTTCACATCGTTTGTTGGCAAGGCTTACACTAGAGCTATTTGGGGAGGATCGAGTTGATTATTCCAGCAGCTATGAGTCTATTAACCCCATAAACCAATTAAGATACGTGGAAGCGACTAAACTAATGTTATAGAAATAAAACGGACGGTAAACATGGCACACAATAGATTGGTAAGGGTCGCAGTGCTTTATGCCAAAAATTGCAAGGAAAAAAGAAATGGGCTGTAAATTGAGTGATTTATTTTTAACATTATTTTCAAATTTACTGCGTCCTTGACACAATTGTCAAATCCACTGACATACTGGCTTATGGTTATGTTACAAATGTGACATTCTTGACTCATTTCAGAGCAAGCAGGAATCACACCTAAGCTATTTTTTTTCTCTCAAAAATCTACCCTCATGATGCTGCCATTCCCTTCTTCACACAGCTTGTAAAATTAAATCCTTTAACAACCTTATTCATTTCTTATTTATGGAAAAACTAACTACAAAAATAATGGTTTAAACAATTAATTCCAGATGCAGTTTATTTCTCTATCAAAGTTAATGAGAAAAATTTGTAGAAAGATAAAAAAAAAACTTTGAAAACTCAGTGAAGGTTGGGGCTAATAATTTCTTATCCCATAAAAAATAAATAAATAAATTAATGGAGGAGATTGCTGCAAAAGGTTGCCAACCATCCTTCAAGCAAATGTCAGATGAAGAGGGAGTTATTTATGATCATGCCCAGTGATTGTAAACCATGTGCTCCCTGAATATTTTCAAGAGAACCAAATGATCACAGCTGTCGCCTATAACAGCCCCAAAAAACTTCTAGAAGACTCACGGCAGAAAGTCGAAAAAAGCAAGAGGTGTAAGAAAAAAGATATTGTAATAATATGTAATAGATAAAGATATTGTAACAATTATCTTGCTGCTTTCTATCAATTTATTATAATATGAAAGCACCACTAATTGGTTAATCATTTTTATGATAAAAAATTATTATTTATTGTAATGGTTAGGACAAAATGTATGTATGAATCAACCACAAAATAAAAATCAACACCCTCTCCCCACACATGCCAAATTTAACCGGTTGACTTGAGAATGCTAGGGTGCTGCCCTTATACGCTCAGCTATTCAAGCCTCAGTTAAAAACATTTATTAGCTAGAAAATGTCAAAGATTCTACCTTTGCAATTGAAATTGTCTGCTGTTCCATTACTTCATGGATTGCAGTACGGTCATGATCAGCCATTTTGTCAAATTCATCTATACAGCAAATTCCCAAATCAGCTAATACAAGAGCCCCACCTTCAAGAACCATCTCTCCAGTCAAAGGATCTTTCATAACGGCAGCAGTGAGACCAACACCTGAAGAACCACGACCAGTGGTATATTGTGCACGTCTAGCTAAACGTTCAATGAATGAAAGCATTTGAGATTTTGCCACTCCTGGATCACCCATTAAACACAAATTAATATTCCCTGAAACATTTAAAAAGAAATTAACAAGTGAAACTTTTTAACATAACATAGCAATAATAAAATATACTTAACCCTATTTAGAAAAAAGTATGTTTTATACAATTAAATTTAATTTAAAATATAACATAATAAAAAGGTTTAGTGAACCCGAAGGTTCGATGCTGGCATCACCAATCGATGCCTACATTCTTCTATCCACTGGGCACTGTCTAAACCCAACCCTGCAAGATCAGCCTTAACGCAATCTTCTCACCTTCGCTTCGGTCTACCCCTCGAATACTTGCCTGTCGGCAGAGCGCATACTACCTTTTTAGGAATTCTTTCGTTACTAATTCCAGCTACTTTAGTGTGAACTGTACACGATTAAGATGGAGCGAATAAAATGAGCATGTATCACCTCTCTAATGTCAAATTAAATAGAACAGGTGAAAGGGAATCATCTTGTTTTAAGCCCATATGAACCTCAAATTTCTCGGATAGGTAATAACCGATTCTAACTTTATTGAATGTTTTGGACATACACATCCTAACTAGATTTACTATTTTTATTTGGAGTCCCCTGCTAAATTATAATATCATACAGCTTCTGACGGTCATTAGAATCATATGCCTTTTTGAAATTGATATACAGCTGGTGAACAACACTGTTGTACTCTAATTTTTTCTCCCATATCTGCCGTAAAGAAAATATTTGATCGATAGTCCAACAGTTCTGTCTAAATCCACATAAGTAGCCTCTGATAATTTCCTCGACATATTATGTTATTTGATAGTTAAGATTAATGTGAATATTTTATAACATACCGGAAGGAATGAAATTCCTCGATAGTTATTACAATCCATCCTTGGGAGCTTTTAGTGAACAGATTTTTTCCATTCTTCAGGCGATTTCTCATTCACCCAGATCTTTTTAACCAAAAAATGTTTTTTAGATTCGCCGCATACCTTAATTATTAATACATGTCTATAACGTTGTTTTCCATTCTATTAGTTTCTATATCTACCATTTTATTTTTAAGATATGCCCTTTTTTTATTTTTAAACAATTTATTAGTTAAATTCTTTAAGACTAGGAAGTACTCAAGTTTGTTTTTACTAATTTACAGCTTTTAATTCAGCAGATTTTTGTTTTTCACACATGTTCAAGCAATCTTCATTGAACCAAGGTTCGTTCTTTTTATATAATTTTTTTCCAAGACACAAATTATCGACCTCTTTGATGTTATCTATATCATCACAGCCCTCGTCATTGATTTTATAAATATAATATTTTATAATATAAATATAATAGTTAAAAAGTCAACCATTTTTGTTTGTATGCTCATTCTCTATAGAAGGGATCTTCAAACTGGTCTGCCAGGAGTTTTTTCTATCACATTATCAAATTCATATCTCCGCCACCCTAATAAAATTAACTATTGACATGATTGGCTTAAAAATTACTGACATCTCCAAATATATTCCGTACAAGGACTCATGTGATGTACTATATAGTTTTACTGGTTTTGAACAGTCATAATTTTATTTGAGATTTGATACATGAGCAACTTCACTCTTATTTTTTCCACATGTGTTCTTGCCACTATCAATAGTGATAGGTATCAAGTTTCTCCACTGAAGATTATTTTAAAGAGTTTTCATTCTCTTTCAGATTTACAATTTTTCCAAGTCATATTGCGCACGCTACGCTATAAACGGCAAGAAACTTTGCATCACTTCATTATTGCCAAACATCTTATGCTGGTAAATAGTTATTATGACATAAATTTTACAGATGATAATCAACAGTTTTATTGTTATATAAGTTTGAAAAGTTTTAGTTTTATTATGATCTGTACTAAAGATTCTTGAAAAACAAATTGAACAATTTTTTAATTTAAAATTTGGGTTTATAGATATTTGATTAGCACCAATGAATACAACAATTACAAAAAAATAAATGCATGTTTTGGAATTTGAACATTCATTTCCTTAAGGTTTTCAGACAAAAGCAATAAATATATAACAAATTAAAAATCTACATGGATTACTTCTAATTTATAAGAACCTATGTACTTAAAAATGAGAAGTAATCCATGTAATTGATGTAAGACTACAAGGATTTTAAAAGTAAGCCATTTATATATTAAATATGTTAAATTTAGAATGAATTAAAAATAAAATAAAATAATGGTTTTTATTTTTGAACTAATTGCATGAAGTTTCTAAATGAATCCGCAAGGAATAAAGATGGAACATCTTAATTTCGACGACGATGTAAACGATACACATTTTTATTACTATCAATAGTTGCAGCCTGTAAGACACAGTGGAAGTATCAATGTGGTCCGACCTGAAAGTTTGAAGATTCCTGCTCTATAGTATTAGTATTTCACTTGTGAACACGCATATATAAATATTATACCTACTGTTATTAGTATAAGTAAAAAAATATTTTATGACCATTGTTTGATAAATTTGCAACAGTATTGCAATATCAAATTATTGTTAATTTTCATTTGTATTTATTCTCTTGAATTTTAGATATTTTTTTAAAAAATATTTGAGAATTAAAAAAGTTAAAATCATATAAGTAAAATTAAGAACCTCGGATTTTCATCCCATCAGGACTTTTGTCTACTCCGCCAACTAAAAGTAATAGCAGAGCCTTTTTCACATCTTCATGTCCATAAATTTCAGGAGCAATACTAACGGACAACTTTTGATAAAAGTCATCTCCAGCAAGTTCTTTAACTTCTTTCTCTGTTAATTCACCTTCTCCTAAAGTATCTTCCACACTGTTTAAGCTTACAACTTTCTAAAAATAGAACAAATTAATTATTATTACTAAATAAAATTTTATAAAGCTAGATTCATACATACAAGACGCTCAAATAAACATTAAATAATAGTAATTATTGGTGATTTTGTAGCAAAAAAAGATGCAACATTCCAAACATTATAATTAATTAATAGTATAAATGACTGATAACTAAAACCAATTTCTTATAATTCAATACTTAATAGTTGACTGTTCTATTATTAAGGAAGAAGATGGTTCAGGGTGGCGGTCACAAATAGACTAAATAATGGCAAAACTATTTTATTAAAAGCCTAACGTTTTGACCTGACTCTGCAGGTCTTCTTCAGGGAGCTGTGTTCAGCAAGGAGTTTCACTTAGAACCGAGTTAGTGAACTGACTAAGTGAAACTCCTTGCTGAACACACCTCCCTGAAGAAGACCAGCAAAGTCGGGTAAAACGTTGGGCTTTTAATAAAATAGTTTTGCCACTATTTAGTCTATTTATGACTGCCACCCCGGACTATCTTCTTCCTTAACTTCTTAAAATATTGGTGAAATGAAAGGAAAAAATGTATTTTTGTTAATTAGTCTTTCATTACGTTATATTTTTTCATTTCCATACAGGTCAATTTATTTGTTTTAAAAATATATTTAATAATAACATTTGAGAATTAGGAATGCTGTAACCAATAGGTAAAGAAGAAAATAATTACAACTAGAACTAGAAAAAATGTTTGACACGAAAAAAAAAAGAACAACAACAATAACATAAGACATATAATATCAAATAACTTACATGAGCTTCTAAAAATGTTTCAGATATAAGACCTTGATAAATTTGCCTCCAGCCAGATCTTAAAAGAGGAAGGAATATTCCTGTAACTTCAACATGGTCACCAGGCACACACTTTCTAGTTGTTTCCCCACGGCAAAATACTGTTATTGATCTAGGAACATTACCTACTGGTACCTGATCGCTCTGTGTAAAAAAAATTAAGAGTGATACAAGATTTAATAAATACACTAATTGATAAGATTTGTTATTGGATTAAGTTGATAAATATTGATTAAAACAATCTTAAGCGGATCACTAATAATTTACTAATAACTATTTTCATTAGAAAAAGGAGATAAGTCAGTTCCAGTAATGAAGAGAACTATATTGATAAAATGAGAAGGAGTTAGTCGAGGGTGCAGTGAAATAAATAAAAAAATTAAAATATATTAATTATTTTAATTTTTGCCGACGTTTCGACCCACCTTGCAGGTCGTCTTCAGGGCTACAAAAGATACAAAACATGTTGAAAATAAAAAATAAATATAAGTATATATAAAATAAGAAGAAGTTGTCAGATACAGAAATAAAAGATGGTATCATTAAAATGGTATCAATTTGGGCATTATATGCACCACTACACCCCAAGAAGGGTCATTGGTGAAGTAATTGGTTTGAAAGTTTTATTGAACAATGGTAAAATGAAGTGAGTGATGATTATGTGGTCACCATATAAGCTAAATCATATGTCTCTCCAAGCCATTAAATGGTCAGATAACCAATTTATAGAAGCTGGATTTCTTATAGGAGGGATCCCTGGTCCTGTCAATTTATTGTAGATATAGAAAAAAACTATATTTCCTGGGATAACTGAAATTGAACTCGGACAAATAAGCCAGTAGAGACAGGGTGGGCGAGTGCCCTGAGTGTCCACAGCACCACATTGCTCAGTACCCTGATGGAAGATAATTTAATAAAATAATTATGCATCCTGTGCTGGGGAAGAGAGAAGCTTTTAACTCTGGTATTAATCCCCTGCCATCACCCCATGGCCCAAAAGGCGAAAAAAAAAAAAAAGTCAGCAGTCCAGTAAACTCTTAAGGCAATATTATTTTTCTTAAAAACAATTAGATCACTTACATGCTCTTGAATACGTAATTCTTGAAACTTCATAAACTTGGAACCCCTTGTCTGAAGGTAAAGTCGACCACCTGATTTATTTAATCTGCAAATGTCACTTGGACATAAAATTACTGGCATAAAATTCATTGAGTTGACCTATAACAATAGGATTATTACAGTACAATTATAGAATTAAATTTGTAAAAACATAAAATAAAACTAATTAATATTTACTTGCTGATATGATTCAGCTCCACAATGATCACATGTATAAGTAGCAACTGAAATTAATGGCTTCACTTCAGTGGCTCGTGTAACTATTCCTTGTATTGTAACTAATTTTCCTATGAAGTTTGCCTTGACTTCTCTGATTGGAATAGGTTTTACGGTGGATAGATTCTTGAAATATACTTCACTAAAATATGGCAAAAAGTAATAACAATAAGATGCATAGTTTTAAAGTTTAAATTAACAGATTTAAATTCTGTATTGTTAAATATCTCACAATCTACGCATAAGCTCGGGAGGATGAGCATTGTTGGATTCTCTAACTTCACCTGACTGCCTATTCCTGCTGTCAATCAAAATTCTGTGCTCTATGTAAACATCAAGTGTATCTTTCCCAACTATCTAAATAACAATAATCAATAATTAATATGGATGATTTTAGAAAATTATTTCAATAGAAGTGATATATGAGTCATACATCGTGCTGTTTGTAATTCGGGAGAAGTTCATAAACTAAGTCAGAAAAGATATTGTTGTACCTCCGGCTGTTTTGAAGTATAGGCTCGATGACACTATTGTCAAATTCAAAAATATCATCTAACTCTATGTACAGTGATACCTAAAAATAAATATGTTGAAACAGAAATTTAAATGATTAATGGTACATAAAACATCACAAGAAAATTAAATGTTACTTGTTCTCTGTGAGCTATTTTTGTCAACTGATCTGCATATTTGAATATAGTGTGACCTTCCTCATTAGTAGATGTAAATGTAATTAAAAATTCTTTAAATTTCTCTAAAATAAAAATTATTAGGTATTATCAATATAATCAAAAGTAGAAATAAATTCTAAAAAATAATGAAATGAAATATTACCTTTCATCTCAGTGTATCCTACATCCTTTTTTTTCGACATTTTGAGAAAAAAATAAAATAGAGTAATTGCCTTAGTTCACGAAATAACACAGAAAACTTTCCTAACACAACTGTACAATAACAACTCGGGAATTATTACCGCGCTTCTTCAGTTTTAGCGGGAAATCTTATCAACGGTGACAATATATATGTAAATACATGATTATTACTTTTTACTTTTTTAAAATCAACTGAAATCTCGTTCTAATTATTTGTGTAAAATAATTAAACATTGATGTTATTGATTTCTTTTTTCTTAAAAAGTAATAAACTTAATTATTGTGTAATTCGTGTAGGTTACACCATTGTTACATATCTTTCAGACACAATTTTAAATACTTGATAAATTACAACAGTTATCATGGTAAGAAAGATAAATCATGTATCTTATAATGATCAATATTGTTAAGTGCTTATTTATTTAATTTTATTTCTTTCATGTATATTACTTACAGACATCCACTGTCATTCTTGCTGGTTTAGGATTGGCAGCTATGGGATATGTTGGAAAATTTGCACTTCGTGCTGCGCCAACTTTTACCCAAAAAGTCTCTGAAGCAATGAAAACAATGCCAAGATTAGATACTGAGGTATGTATGGGTTAGATTAATGTAGTTGTTCATTTTAAGTTATACTTACATGTAACTGCACTGTGAGGCATTATACTGTTTTATTTTTTCTGAGTTTATCAGGATATTTAAGTCAATAATTTTTCAACAGTCACAAATACCAATTATTAATCAGAAGATGTACTTTTGACCTTTAATTCAACCAAAAACGATGCTTACAGGTTCGATAATGGCTAAAATGGTGTGTGCTTGTGACAGTTGTTTAACTGGGTTTAAATATATGATTGAGTTCAAGCAGACTTGTGGAGAGGGCAAATTAGTAACCTTTCTAGATATTCTATTGTTTTCAGAAGCTCTCATCTTGTTTTTCTTCTGGCAAAGCTTTTTTAACAAGCTATGATTGTTGCTGTGTGATCCCAATTATGTTTGATTTCAATTTGTGTAATTATTGAGTGATGGTGCTGTTCAGTGTTCTTAAGAACTGGTGTCAGACCCTATTCTCTTCAGTGGTGTGGGTTTGCTTCTTTTATTAGCCATTAATTTCTTATTTTCACCTTCAGCTTTTAAATAAAACTATAAAACCATTAATATTTTACTTGGTACTAGTTCATATGAGTTCCGCATGGTTCACAATCACCTCGGTCACACTTGTTCGTGGAGTACAAAATGCGTTTGGGTTTATCTGAAATAGAACGGAGGCGACCAATATCTTGAGTCAGTCACTATTAACTTTCCTGCCATTTAAGTACTTCTGGATCTTTAACTATGTTCATTAATATAGCAGGAGCCTACTTATATTAGAAACTTAGGCTACATCATGTAATCTTAATCGAACTTGTACATATATTATTCAGCTCTTGAAAATTAATAGTGATAGATAAAAACCCTTAATTATTTTATCTCTGAATGCTATTTCATAATATTTATTTTTCTTATTGATGATATTTATTATTCATTATCTTGGAGTTATCAGATATTCTTCTTCAGTTGTTTCCCCTATTCGTTTATTTCTTCTTTAAAAATAAACATGATGGTTTTTTTTTTCTTTTTTTTTTTATGTATAACTGCAATAAGTCTCCATTTTCAGATTATTAAGCAAACTGATTACGAATAACAATAATTACACATAATTCATTCAATAAAAATAATAGCGATTAAAATGAGAAAATAAATTATAAGTTATAACAGTATAGTCCAACTAAGTGGCAGATCTACGTGTTCCGTTGGAGTTTGGTATTATTTGAATAAATATTTATCTAGATAACGATTAATAGATACTTATTCGGATTAATTTCATCCATTATTCAATGGGCTTTTGCAGATAATTTGTTGGTTATTAATTAGTTACAGATATTTTTAATCATCTATTATCCCCACATATATTATTACAGTAAGGCTCGAAATCGGTTTTGTACCAAACATAAGCTCCTGTCATGCTCAAATTCCATGAAGGGGGTACTGTTGGATTCAGAGTTCCATGGGGGTTTAGCGAATCTTATTCTCCACTTTTGTTTTTCTTTATAAAATAAATATAGTCGATACAAACATTTTGCTAAGCTTCAATACTGGAATGGTGGTAAGTCTGTAGATCCATATGGGATGAATTGGGTCTTGAAGATTTTGATACTTATAGCAGCAAGATCCGGAACTACCAGACTATTCTTCGGAACTATCGGGTCCTGCGGTTTTAAGCCCAAAAACGTACTATTTTTGGAGATAACTCTAGGTATAGAGGGTTCACATCCACACGACCTTATGTTAATTGTAGTACTGTCATTAAATGCATAGCCCTTTTGAGAGGAGGAGTTTATTTTGTTTATCGATGATGTTTTTTATCATCAAGCCATATCATCGTTAATTCTTCACCAAATATCAAGATTGAGCCACCAATTTTGAAGGCTTACTTCTCCTTCAGGCGGGCAAAATAGTCCAATCACCTCGAAAATTCTGGCAAACAAGTTATGAAAGAAAAGAAACTTTATTTTCGATAACTAAAAAATTACACACTTTTCCCTTGGTTATGCCCATGATTTTATAAAAGATTACTATATTCCCTACAAAAGGAAAAAAAAAAAAAATCATCGAAATCTATTATAAATTTTTCCAATATTTTTCTTTCATTTTATCATTTATTTTTTCTTATTTTCAATTAATATTCATTAGGAGAGCTTTATTATAGCCCATTTCATTTGAAATATAACTATATATTTGGCATTTAGCTATAGTACGATGTTGAAACAATTTTTACTAACCGAAGGAGGAAAGTGGGTTCAATTTTTTTTTATGGGAAAATAGAGTTGAGATTTGTATTTCGCCCCTCTATCGAACATCACAAAAGATGGGGTAACATAAAAATGACTCCACGTATCCTCACGAAAATTTAATTCGAGTTAGGACTGCATAATCTACACGAATTGACATGAACTAGACCCCTGTAAATATAATAGAACTAGAGATTTAAAACAAAAACCTTTGAGGAGTTTTTCTATATTTATTGTTTTTAAACGCTTCAAATCTAAAAGTTATTGATATGGCGTTGAAGAGTAATAACTCAGCTTTCCAACGGTCATAGAAACATTGAATTAGAACATATACTAAATAGCAGAGAGAAAAATCGAATAGAAAGTCAAATGATCAAAATCGGACAATTTTTAGCAAAGATACAGCTTATTGAAATTTGTAAACATGTTGGTTCTAAACATTAATGAAGTTTTAAATTAATTTTTGTTTCCTTTGTCGATTGTATTTATCGATAAAGTAACAATTGATTTCCTTATCTTTTGATACGTTGCATTATTTTCTTTTCTTATTAATTTGGCATTTGATCAAATTAACAATATATTGTGCAAATTTTTTTCACAGGCCTGCTAGTCTATTAATAAGAATAATGAATAAAAAGATAATAGATATCTTCAGATTATTTATTATCCAAAAGATTAAAAAAATCTTTTATACACAGTTAGGCAAGATGATATACAATAATATATGCGTGTTTACAGCAACTACAAGTACTGTAAGCACGTATCAATAAAAATTGTATTTCTAAAAGCATTTTTTTTTAACAGTCCTTGAAGGACGATCGAAAAATCATTTTATCTATTTTCTTTCAGAGTAACTACCATTATAATAAAAATTAATAATTAACAAATTAGTAAATACATAATTCGTCAATAAATTGTTAATAAGGAAGTTCTATGATGGGAATACACAAGTTTTTCAAAAATGCATAAAAAGGGATTGTGTGGTGGAGGCTGATGTCATAAAAGATTGCAACATTCAGCTGTTTACAGGATTTCAAGGACAAGTGTGATCGAAGTGATTGTGAATCATATGCAATCAGTGCGGAACTCATGTGAACTAGTACCTGAAATTCGTATAATATTATACTAATAATAATTATTATACGTATAATAATTATTATTATACTATTATGCTAATAATAATAATTATTATTATACTATTATACTAATAATAATAATAATTATTATACTATTATACTATAATTATTGCTGTAATAATTCGTATTTCCTTTATTATTTGAGTTTTGGTTTTTGTAATTTTTAATATAATTCAAACATTTTACTGATAGCACGATTTTTACAGAATAGACCTATTGATCATTCGTTTTTATCTTGAACAAGCTGAAGGAAGACAGTCATATTCTAATTTCAGCAGTAATATTTTATAACCTTAAATAATCCAGCTAACTGGGATCGCAATATCGATTTCATTTGAGAACAAAGGTTACAATTGAGGGGAACTATAACAATTACAAAACTATTTTAACAGCAAAGCTTTTGTGCCTGCGTATTTTTAGGAGCCCATGGCTATAGAAATTTCAGTTAAGATCTCTCCATATTAAATCACCAGAGACCTTTCTTGGATTTTTTCACAACATTTTATCTCATAGTTATATCTACTAAGTACATTACAACTCTTTTTCATTCATTTTTTTTGTTTGTATAGATTTCGAAAAATTGAATTATTCATGTCTGTCATGATCAAGACCCCGGATTTTTATGCAGTAAAAACTCACAGAATATGCCATATGTTGAAACATTAACAGAATTTACAATCGGTGGAGTAAATAACATAAAATAGATAAAACATTTGAATTAGTCTGCTTTTCAAACATGTTCTGTATTAAAATAAATTACCAGAAGCATTTATAAGTTTGCCTTTGTGAAACCTAACCTTTTATAAAATATTTTTATAATTAGAAAATGATCCTTCCACATCAACAGGTGAAATAGAGGCAAATTTATATCCACTTAAATTACAATTGAATCTTCACCATTTAAAATTTTATTAATACCTTCCAGAATTGTGAAACCTGATTTTTTTATAGAAACTTCTTTAAATATTTTTTTTCATTCAAAGTTTAACCTACTTGGACTGGTACGACTGGTTTTCTACCAATTGTAAAAATGATTTCATATCTGTTTTTTTAAGGTTCAATCCAAGATTTCAACATTGATGAAAATATGAAGATACTTTGGCATTTTAAATAAACAGAAATATGATCACTTGCTAAGAATGTAGGCAACAAACTAAAATAGAAACTTATTAAGATGTTTATGTGAAACAAGAAGGGGAAATGGGTTTCCAGGAATTAGAACATCTATAAAGCGAATTAAATAGTCTACAAATGTGGTAGATTTTGTTCATTGAAAATAAACCTACAATCGTAATCTTGAATTGCATCTTCAATATTACATTTTAATTTGTATATATAAATATATATTGTTTACTTCATTAAATTAATCAAAATATGCAAAATTAAATTTGACTAATTACATCACAATGTACTAATTTGTATAGATATTTGATCAGTGGTTGAAAAAAATAACGCAAACAAAATATGCAATTGCATGAAAATCCGTGCCTTGGTCATGATATATGGTGTACACCTTTATATAAGATAAAGACCGGAGACTGGCGGTATCAGCCTTAATACTATCTGGTAATGTAAATAAACAGGCTAAGTGTATATAAGGAGGCTTATGGAACGAATAAAGCAG